CTTAAGGTGGAAATGAAGATCTTGGCAGGTTAGTGCAGATGAGAAATAGGTGGATGTTCACCAGATTGTGTTGCCAGTAGAATACAGAGATGAAATATTGCAGGTAGCACACAAATTACTGGTAGGAGGTCATCTAGGAGTAAGGGAGACTCAGGCCAAGATACAGAAGCATTTTTATTGGCCTGGATTACATAAAGATGTGGTTGAATTTTGTCGTACCTGTCACATGTCCAGTGGTAGGAAAGAAAAAGGCAATGATAACAGCAGCACCTTTGTAATTGATTGTGTAGGTCCCCTCCCTAAAACCAAAAGTGGGAAGCAGTATTTGCTAACTATAATGGATACATCTACCAGGTTGCCAGAGGCAATCCCATTACAGAATGCCAAGGCACAAAAGGCTGTGGAGGAGTTGCTTGCTTTCTTTACCCATTATGGACTACCCAGGGAGATTCAGTCAGACCAAGAGTCCAAATTTACTGCCAAATTATTAAGGAGGTCATGGATAGTTTAGGCACCCAACACTTTAAATCAAGTGTGTACCATCCTGAATCACAGGGAGCATTAGGAAGGTGGCATCAGACCCTAAAGGCAATGTTAAGGGCTTATTGCCAGGATTACCCAAATGATTGGGGTAAAGGTATCCCATTTATATTATTTGCTATTAGAGATGCCCCAAATGATTTGACTCAATTTGCTCCATTTGAATTGACATTTCGACACAAAGTAAGAGGGCCTTTAAAATGAATTAAAAGAAAAGTTGATACATCTGAAGTCAGAGATCTCACAGCTGGATTATGTGTCTGAAGTGAAAGATTAAACAAAGTAGATAAATTAGCTAGACAACATTTGAAGGTGGCACAGCACACAGTGAAGCAAGAAGCAGATAAGAAATCTAAAATTATTTGTTTGCCCTTGGGGATAAAGTATTGGTGCTGTTATCAGTGGTACAAGATCCCTTCAAAGCAAGGTTTGGTGGCCCCTATCAGATTGAGAAGAAATTAAGTCAGGTGATTATCTGGTAATTATGTCAGATACAAAAAAATCATCACGTATGTCATGTGAAAATGCAGAAATATTACAGGGAATCACAACTGGAGAAACAGGTATTAGTTACTGCCACTCAGAGTGAGGAATCAAATCAGATGATTTGGATTTTGATGTGCCTCAGAGTAAACTGAATAATGAGGCAGTCTTAAGGAATGGGATAGTGTAGTGAGCTATCTGTCCCTGGAACAGAGAACGGAATTGGAAGACTTGTTACAGTGCTATGAGGACCTATGTAGAAATAGAATGGGGAGGACTAATGCCATAGTACATGAGGTTGACATAGGGAATGCTGTTCCAATAAAACAATACCCCTATGGGCTTAATCCTCTCAAAGCAGCGCAAGCTCAGAAGGAAGTGGAAGTGATGCTCCAAGAAGACATCATAGAGATGAGTCAAAGCGAGTGGTGTTCGCTGATTGTGGTGGTTCCCAAACCTGATGGTACTCAATAATTCTGTATTGATTATCGGAAGGTCAACGCTGTGTCCAAATCTGACTCATACCCAATTCCAAGGCTGGAGTATTGTGTGGAAAAAGTAGGACAAGCCACTTACATCACAAAATTGGACTTACTTCATGGTTACTGGCAAGTGCTTTTATCAGAGAGAGCAAAATAAGTTTCTGCTTTGGTAATCCCAAATGGGCACTATCAATTTAAACTCATGCTTTGGAATGAAAAACACACCAGCCACTTTTCAGAGGCCTATGAACAGAGTTGTTGCAGGATTGACTAATTGTGCCATCTACATAGATGACTTTGTGATCTTTAGCCATTCATGGGAAGATCACATGGAGCATTTGGCAGAGCTCTTTGAGAGACTACAGAAGGCAAAGTTGGTCTTAAACTTGGCAAAAAACAGAATTTGCGAAGGCGGAAGTGACATTCTTAGGGCACCACTTCAGATATGGACAGATGACACTAGGGAAGTGAAGACAAAGGCCACTGAAGAATTTCCAAGATCATCCTTAAAAAAGGAAGTGCTGCCATTTTTAGGCCGGAGTAGATTCTACAGGAAATTTGTACCAAACTTCAGTAGCATAGTGGCACCATTCACAGAATTGTTAAAAAAAAAAACATGAAATTTCAGTGGACAGAACAACGCCAGGAGGCATTTGAGAACTTAAGAGTAGTGTTAACCACCGTACCACTTTTAGCCATGCCAAATTTTTTGAAACCCTTCAAAGTCACCATCGACACAAGCAATATCGAAGTTGGATCTATGTTGTTACAGACGATGATTGTGGAATTCAAATACCAGTTGTTTTTTAAAAAAAAATTCAACATCCACCAGAAAAAAAAGTCAACCATTGAAAAACAGTTATTGAGTTTAGTAATGGCCTCACAACATTTTAATGTTTACGTTGCAAACTATGCATAGAGGTGATTGTGTATACTGATCACAATCCTTTGACGTTTCTGGAAGGATTTAAGGACAAGAACACCAGATTATTTCATTGGAGTCTCAAGTTACAAGAATTTATTTTGCAGATTGTACATGTTGTGGGCTGTGAAAATATTATCACGGATGCTTTATTGTGAGTTTAAAAGAAAATGTTTTATATAAGATAGAAACGGTAGTGTTCAACGTTATATTTTAATAGAATTAGTATAGAACGAGTAACTCTACATTAATGAGCTATGAATCTAACAATACATTGGAGTTAAAGTTATAAAATAGAAAAAAATGAAGCTATCGTTTCATAATGATGGTTCATTTTTTTCTTAAGGGGGGGGGGGAGGTGTTGTGAAGTTGGGTAGAGTATTTGTGGATTAGGAGATGGGAAGTTAGAATTTGGTGTTTGTAAAATGCTAAGGGGAAAAGCATTGCCCTTTAAAAGATAGTGTGCTTTTTCTGTGCTCAGAGATTTAAAACGGATGCCTGTGAGCAGCAGCTTGAAAGTTTGCAAGTACACAGTGAGCACCCAAATTGATACATAATGAATACAGGCACATGTTGCTCACAGCTGTTTCCTTGTGATTATTATTTACATATTAAGAAAATAAAGCACTGTAATTCTTATTAAGTACAGTAACCTTGTCAGTATTTTCTGCTAACCTGATTCCGTCAGAATTTTGATATCTTCTCAAGGATTGGGCAGTCTAAGTATTTCTGTGTGTTTGTCCTTCTTGTATTTTGTCACATCATCTTCCCATTGTTCACAAATTCTATTTATCTAAAATATGCACAAGTATTTCAATTGTTATGTAAATATTCTGGCAATATTAATGCTAAGGATAGATATCTATTAACAGACTGGGAAACTGAAATGTGGAATATTTCTTTGTTGAAGAGATTTGATCATGTTATTTCTTGGAAACAAGGAATGAAATTAGAAGTGTAAAATATCTGCTGTTCACTGGAAAATCAAGCAATTTTCAGAAAAAAAATCCAATGCAAGTTTTTAAGAAGCAATAAGAGATGAGTTTTATTGCTTGATCACGGGACAAGCCGTAACAGTGAAGTCATGGATCTGTTTATTGCCTAGCAACAGCCTCTGGCTAAGTTTCTGCGTGTTTCTATAGACCCAAGGTGTGAGTTCTTAAAGAAACTGACAGCAGAAAGTAGATCTCTGACTCAACAAAGACAATCACTAGAGCAAAACAACAGCTCTCTCTTTCTCTCTCGAAGTATTTGTGAAGCCTGATAAAGTTGTAACGCCACGGTTCCTAACTGTTTCCCATCAAAATCTGAAATCTGCTCTGAAAATCATCCGTCAGGGACTTGATTATCAGCACACTCCCCTGTCAGAGTCACAACAACATTTGAATCAGTGTGAAGGGCAGTGAGATTGAAGTCCAAGTACAAACAGCCTTAATTAAATGTTCCATGATCTCACATCTGTTTGTCCATTAGATATTAAAGAAAATGTAACTTGTTTTATTTACCTTGTGACATTTGTTCTCAGGATGTAGGTGTCACTGGCTGGGCCAGCATTTATTGCGCGTCCGAGGTGGCCTTGAGAAGTGGTAGCGAGCTGCTTTCATGAACTGATGCAGTCCATGTCCTGTAAGTAGACCTTCCAATGCTCTTGGGGAGGGAATTCCAGGATTTCGACTAGCGACATCGGAGAAATTGTGATATATTTCCAAGACAGAATAGTGAGGGGCTTGGAAGGGAACTTGCAGGTGGTAGCGTTCCTATATATCTGCTGCCCTGGTCCTTCTGGTTGGAAGTGGTTGTGGGTTTGGAAGGTGCTATCTGAGTGAATTTCTGCAGTGCATCTTGTAGATAGTAGCAGCAGTGTGTAATGAGCGTCACTGGTGAAGGGAGTGGACACAGAAGGTAATGTATGGGGCATTGATTAAAATCGTGTCTGGACTCCTTCCGATGTTGATGACTATAATTTTATTTATGCTTGCTGAAGGCAGAAATATTAAATGCATTACAACTTTCAAGTTCACCACACTACACATTAAATGTGTGATAGTTTCAGGAAACTGGACTGTTCAATTCCAATGACATTCACTGACTTCTGAAACGTGGTAAACACTGTCTGTTCAGATTGACATGAGAAGGTCGAGATCTATTAGCGGTTCATTGGCCAAACCTGTAGCTTTTCAGAAGCATTTTGAAGGTGGGTAAAAGGCAGAAAGTTGAGTGAGACTTTAGGATGGACCTCGAGAGGTTTAGCTCAAAACATCTGAAGGAATAATGGAGTACATTTTTATTCCTGTAAATAGAAAATTATCAATTCTCATGAATACTGTCCCTGTTTTGCCTTTAATGAAATATTCTTTTAAATGGAACAATTAATGAGACTTAAGATACCTGACATTGAGTAAACCTGATGATAACATCTATTCAAGGCTGAGATTGAAAGATTTTTAATCAGTGAGGGAATTGCGGAAAGGCAGGAAGGTGAAGTTTGAGAATGATGAGATTGGCCATGATTTCATTGAATAGTAGAGACTCGATGGGCTGAGCGGCCTATGCTTACACCTAAATCTTATGTTTTATATCTGAAAGCGGATGAGTTTCAACGAGTCAAGTGCACAGCCTGTTAGGAGAAAGGGGTGGACTTTCTCAGTGAATTTATCGGTGAAGGTGTAGAGATGAGACAGACTGCCTGCATCATACAGTGACACCTGGCCCACTTCATAGTTGAGGTAGACCCCCAGTGTTCGGGGTCTGGTCCGGATGGGGAGGGCGGTCCGAGGCGTGGTCAGAGTTGTGTACTCGTCCTTCAGCCGCCACAAGGCCCAGACCCCAGCGCCCGGTTCTGGCGAGAAATCCTTTTTGCGTGGTACAGAGTCCTTCGCCAGCCCCACTGCCCAGGTGCTGTTATTGCCCACCTCCACTTCCCAGTAGTGCTGACCCGCTTTGAAACCCTCACGTGCCAGCACGCTGTGCCAGTTCATGAACCTTGCCGCCTTGTCAGGAACCTGCTGCTTGCTATCGCTGAACTTCACACTGGTCTGCTGGTCTGACACCACTAGCCGGGGGTGTGCTGTGTTCGGGTCCAGATTCAGAGCGGCTGGAACTGAAGGAAAGACAATATCAGCACACTGCTTTCAGTGGTCCTCTTGTAGCACAGTAGTAACGTCCCTAATTCCTAGGCCAGGAGGCCTAGGTTCAAGTCCCTGGTGTTCAAGAGGTGTGTAACAACAGCTCTGAACAGGTTGTTTAGAAAAATAAGTCAAATTTTAAAAAGTTAAGAACCCACTTATGGCACAATAGTGCTTTCCCTTTCCCTGGACTGGAAGGCCTGGTTTCAAATCCCACCTGCTCCAGAGGTGTGTAATAACAGCTCTGAACAGGTTGATTGGAAAAGAAAAGGTTAAATTAATAAACGAAGCCGTTTGCTGCACTTAACTTCCCATAGACCAGATGCTTTCTTATCAGAAACGGGGAGGGGACAGGAGCCAATGCTTGGACACTAATGAATATCAAATGCAATGCACCGCTTGTGATTTCCGACACCTGAACTGAATTACTCTGGTAAGTCAATTGCTCCTGCCTTTCATTCTAACATAAAAAAAACTTTTCTGCGCTGTTCTTTCCCTGCTGTATGTTGGGAATTAGGGAGGAAACTGCCGTCCTCACCTCGTCTGGCCTACACGTGACTTCACACCCAGAGCAATGTGGCTGACTCTTAGCTACCCAGAGGGCAGCTAAGGACAACGTAATAAATGCTGGCCCAGCCACAATGCCCACATCCCATGAATGAATAATAAAAACAAGATGCAGCCAGATTAAGGGAGACGGTAGCATAGTGATAATGTCACTAAGCACAAAACGTAGAGACCTGGCTAATTCTCCACAGACCTGGGTTCAAATCCCATCATCGGAGTTGTGAAATTTAATTTGAAAGCTAGTCACCAGTGATGCTGACCAGAACAAGTGTCATTGACAAATGTTCATTCATGCCCTTTAAGGGAACAGGCATAGTTTATGGCCTTAACTATCCTTCATACGAATTAGGAGACTGAGTAGGCCATTCAGCCTGTTCTATCATTTAATAAGATCACCATCAACCTGACTGTGGCTATAACCGGCCACCTGATAATCTCTGACTCCCTTGCAGCACCAGACCCATGGCAATGTGACGGACTCTGAACCTATCCTCTGAAATAAATGTGCAAGACCACTCCTTTCAAGGAGCAATCAGGGACGATCAAAAAATATTGCTGGCTTTGCCAATGATGTCCATATCTTCCACCCCACCCCACGCCCCCACAAAAGAGTGAAAACAAAAGGAATGTCATCACCCTGCAACATCGCAGTTAACACTGAATGGTCACTAATCTGAAACATTGACCCAACAGATCTGTTTGGGTGGGTCTTGAACTCCGTATTCTGATCAAATTACTCTCCACCATTTTCAATGAAGATTAAAATTAAACAGGATGTAAATCCAGTGTTTTAACCATTCTGGGCTCAAGTTAACATAACCGCTGTTTCTTGCTGCACACAGGAGTTGTGACATGCTACATGCTTTAGCGTTTATTGGCGTTACTTAAAGCAAAGACGAGATAGACTAGAGAGTGACCAGCTACTTTCTGTGACTTAAATATAGAACCAATAGGAATACAACTAAATTAAAAAGAATAGTTTTGCATATAACCAAGTCTTCTTTTTAAACCAAAAGCCTATGAAGTCTGAGATACACTGTCAAAGATTGTGAATATAATCATGGAATCTAACAGGATAGATGACAATTCGGCCCATCATATTTATGCTAGCTCTTTGAAAGCATCGTCTGATTGGTAAATTCCTCTGCTGCCCTTTCCCGTAGCCTGGTGATTGGAATTCTAGAGGTCTACAACACAGAAAAAGACTCTTCGGTCCATTGAGTCTGGTCAAATACAGGAACCTAACAATTCTAACCCCATTTTCTAACACTTGGCCTGTAGCTTCTTATGCCTTTGTATAGCAAGTGCACATCCAAATTGTTACATGAGGGTTTCTGCCTTTACGAACCTTACAGGCAGTGAGTACCAGACTCCCACCACCCTCTGGGTGAAAATGTTTTACATCATATCCCCTCTAAACCTCCCGCCCCTTCCCTTAAATCTAAGCCCCCTGGTCACTGATTCCCCCCACCAAGGGAAAAAATTCCTCCCTGCGTACCCTAAGTCAATTTTACACATCTAAATCAAGCTCAGTCTCCATCTCCTCTGCTCCAAGAAAACAACCCCAGTCTGTAATTCTCTCCCCTTTAATTGCCTGTCGAATTTATCTGAAAGAGTCACAACTGAAACCGCATCTCCCATTCAGGCAAGCAACAGGCGGCAGATCGGAATGACTCCCGATTAAAAATGAGTCTCCTCTGGCACCTTCCAGAACTCCCTGAAATCTCAGTCTGCTGGTTGCCCCTCCCATGAACTTTATTCATCCTGCCAAACCTCTTCACAAGTTTGGACACGTTTATTTGAATTTCCCTTTCTCCATTCCCGAGGAAATTATCAATGCGAGATCGCAGTCCCTCATCACTCCACATAATCCAAAATGCAAAGAAACTACATACTGGTACATAAGGTCGAACCATGGAGTTGTACAGTGGAGAAGACGGCATTCAGATATCAAGTGTATTCTGCCAAAAATAGACGACTGCCTACACTGATCCTACTTTCCTGCATTAGGTTCACAGTCTTCAATGTTGTGACACTTCCAAGCGCTTATCGAAGTACTTTCTAAAAGTTGTGAGGTTTATATATTAAGGTTTGAATCTTGACATTTCAATATTAAGACTCTGACTATAATATGGACCAGGCTCGCATTTCAGAATAAGTTGTTTGAGGGCTTCATGGTGTTCTTACAGTGCCATCACCTGGAGGGAAGTATCATTACAACTTGATTATGAGAGCGGACATTTTCATTCATGAAGGTGGAGTCATAGGGCCATAGAGCTGCTCTCTCGTTAAAGAGAGAAAGACAAACAACTGATGGTGAGTTTAATCCGAGAGTCACCGTGCCTCACGAGAGGGGCGAGGTTGATTAGTAATGGGAAGACAGACAGATAGCATTCCACCCAGGTCAACTGAGTCCTGCTTTCACTCCATTTTGAGCACACCACTGAATACATCTTTTTGGAAATGTGTTTCAGTCAACAAAATGACAATTTTACAGCAAAACAGGAGCACTGCAGTATGTTTTTTATATTTGCTCATGGGACATGGGTGTCACTGTCTGGGCTAGCATTTATTGCCCATCCTTAATCCCAGTTAAGAGTCACCTATTAAGAGTTAACCACATTGCTGTAGGTCTGGAGTCACACATAGGTCTGACCAGGTGAGGATGGCAGATTTCCCTTCAGAAAGGACAATAGTGAACCAGATAGGTTTTTATAACAATCAACAGTGGATAGCTAAAAACATTAGCCTAGTTTTTTTTATTGAATTCAACTGTTACCATCTGGCATGGTGGGATTCAAACCCATGTCCTGAGAATATTAGTCTGTCATTGAAGTTTACAGCATAGAAAATGGCCCTTTAGCCCATCCAGTCTGTGGCCAGTCAAAAAAAAAATTCACCGAACCGCTCTAATCCGATTTTCCAGGACTTGGCCCATAGCCTTGTATGCCTTGGCATCACACTTGCACATCTAAATACTTCTTCAATATTTTGAAGTTTTCTGCCTCTAACTTACAGGCAATGAGTTCCAGATTCCTACCACCTTCTGGGTAAAATTGTTTTCCTCACATCCCTTCTAAACCTCTTGCCTTAAATCCTGCCCTGCAGTCACTGATCCCTCTAGCAGGGAGAAAAGTTCCTTCCTGAGGTTCCAGATTATTAGCAAAGTGACATTACCATATGCCACCATAAGCATTCCCACTCCAAACAAAACAACCTTACCTGGATTAACCAGCTTCAAGATCTGCTTCCAAGCAAAGTACTGCAGAGGACCTGAAAATTCACCAAGGTCAAGATCAGTGGACACTTTTGTGGGCTTCTTAAACTGCAGCACAGGCCTGGGCAAAGTTTACAAACAAGAACAAAACTAAGCGTTAAGACTGGAGATGATAATCCACAAAATGGGAAGCGAAAAGGTCACCCACAGATAAAAGTAAAACGACACTGACGCTCTGATTCCTTTTCTCAGACACTTAGTGATGTTGCTCAGAAGTGTGCACAACACTCTCAGGGGGGCACTCTGGTTACAGTGCAAAATATTGTCATCAGGGGAGGATGGAGACCAAATCTTCCACTAATATGATGGCTTTTGCAACTTCAGGGCATCTTAAAGTGTTTTACATCCTATTAAGTACTTGTGGCTATTTTCCTAACCAACCTTTTCCGAAACATTATGACACTGTTCTCGGGCAGGCAGGATTTGAACCTCCTCGTTCAGATGTAGGGACATTGGCATTATGCCACAAGCACTCACAGTAAGAGCACATGCACTGCTGCAGAAAAATAGCACACATCAATGTGCATTTGGAAAGTAACTAGATCAGTTCTTTAAAATGGATTTTAGTTTGGGGATTTACATGGCAAGATAACTGAGAACAGCTGCCCTGCACTTCTTGAAAATTGTGCCTTGGGATAGTTGATGTCCACCTGAGACAGCACAGACAATGAATGATTATGTGTGAAAGGCAACACCTCCAGCAATGTGGCACATCCTCAATGCTGCACTGAGGCTCACGCCCTTCTAGGCGACGAATCTTCATGCGCACTTCCTGCAGTATTTGGCATGCCGTAGCCTGTAAGCAACAGTCAGAACGAACCGAGATGCTCAGATACACTACTTGGCACATCCTATCAATATTAACAGGGGGATCATTTACCGGTTGCTGGCTTGCAACACAGCTGAGGTTCAGTTCCTGTACTGGCTGAGGTTACCATGATGCGTGGTGACCTTCAACTTAAACCATCATCAGCCATTTCTCTCTTTAATGAGAGAGCAGCCCTATTGGACTGCAGCAACTTTACTTTTAATAATAATGGGATACCACCAGAGAAGGGGGTATCTGGATGTACAAGTGTTAGCCAAATGTGTTGAAGAAAAGAACACATACCTGTCGAGAACAGCAATAATGCCCTAAAAAAGGACAGAAGGTTAATCACAGACTTTTCAAAAGGGACAGAAAAAACATCTTCAGCAATCAGTTCTGTTACTGTCCTTAAACTAAGAATTAATTAGTCTAGATAAAAAAGTAATTTCTTATTGGCATCAGATCAGGTTGATGCATGTGTGTGGTTTCCATTGAACTCTGAATCCATTCTGTCTCTGCACACACCATATGAATTCAGCTGATAGTAGGAACTGCAGATGCTGGAAAATCTGAGATAACAAAGTATAGAGCTGGATGAACACAGCAAGCCAAGCAGCATCATAGGAGCAGGAAGGCTGACGTTTCGGGCCTAGACCCTTCATCAGAACCGAAACGTCAGCCTTCCTGCTCCTATGATGCTGCTTGGCCTGCTGTGTTCATCCAGCTCTACACCTTGTTATCTCGTATGAATTCAGCTATTGCTTTATCATCTGGTCACCTTCATACCCCAGACATGAGCATTAAATGCTGGCCTAGCCAGTGACAGCCATACATGGTGAATGATTTTTTTAAGCAATAAAAAAAATGCAGGATAAATTCTGCAACCTCACATTTCTGACACAGGACCTTCAGTTTCCTTATCTGACACATTTCAGACCGATACATTGTCCTGAACAACTGGTTACACCTTGACAGATCTATTTGCCAGTGTCACTGGCCAGGCCAGCATTCATTGCTTACCCTAGAGAAGATGGTGGTAAGCCTCCTTCTTAAACCTCTGCAAACCCTGAAGCATAGGTATACTCACAGAGCTGTGAGAAAGTGAGTCCTACATTTCAACAGCGAAGGCAGGGCAATCTGTTCCGTTTCAGGATGATTAATGACTGGGAAAGAACATGCACATGCGGCTCTGCCTAAATATGCTTCACTCCTTGGTTGTAGAGGCCATGAGTTTGGAAGGTACTGTCCAAGAAACCTTGGCATGTTGCTGCAGTGCATTTTGCAGATGGTCGGTGGTGGAGGGAGTGGGTGTGGTCCCAAACAAGTGGGCTGCTTTGTCCTGGATGGTGTGGAGCTTTCTGAATGTTGTCAGAGCTGCACCCATCCAGGCCAGTGGGGAGTATTCTATCACACTCCTGACTTGAGTCAATGAAATATGGGGAGTCACAAGGTGAGTTACTCGCTGCAGCATTCCTTGCCTCTGACCTGCTCTTGTAGCCTCTGTATTCACAGATATTTTTAATCAATCAATCTGTTCAGACATGTTATTACACACCACTGCAGCAGGTGGGACTTGTACCTAGGCCTCCTGATCCATAGGTATGGACACTACCATTGAGCCACAAGAGACTTTGCCACAGTACTGTATACAGTGGTCCAGTTCAGTTTCTGGTCAGTGGTAACCCTCAGGGTTCAAGGTGCAGGATTCAACAAGGCGCTACCTTTGAATGTTGGAATATTGCTCGATTCCCTTTTGTTGAAGATCATCAATATCTTGACAAATCATGGTGTGATTGTTACTTGCCGATAACCAGCCAAAACACCATATATTTGCTGCACATGGTTGTGACTGCTTCAGTATCTGAGGAGTTACGAATGGTGCTAAACACCCCCATTTCTGATCTTAAGATGGAAACGGCTGAAGATAGTTGGTCAGATATAAGACTATGAGATAATTTGGAGGGGTTTTGATAGCGCAAGTGGAAGCCAAACAATTTCCAGTGGTAGTGGACAGGTGATGAGAGGACACAGATTTGAGACGTTTTGAAAGAAGCCAGTTGTTCGGATTTGCAATGTGGGGTGATTTTGATTCCATTCCCCACCTTGGTTTTTAATGGAGGGGGAAACTGGAGGGGTTCTGATCCATATGACTGAATGAATGAACTTAAAGTTAGGCAGAACCTGATCCTAACCCATTCAAACTTACTCACTTACACTCAGTGATAAAATCAGTCAACATGCTACAGCAATCGATCTTCTCACTGATTAAATGATATTAGAAAAGACTTACTTTTTTTAAAACAGATAACAACTTACCAGGTAGCAAAGGCAACATATGAGGAGAGACTGGATTAGTCAGGTCCGTATTCACTGGAGTGCAGAAGAATGGGGGCTGGATAGAAACCTAAACAATTTTAACAGGACCAGACATGACAAACACAGGAAGGATGTTCCCAAGGACCAGGCAGTCCAGTACCAGGGGATTGCGGTCTAAGGGAATGGGGTAGGCCATTGATGATTGAAATGAGGAGAAATGTCTTCACCCAGAGAGTGGTGAGGCTGTGGAACTCCCTGCCACTGAAAGCATTTGAGGGCAAAACATTGAATATTTTCAAGAAGGAGTTGGATATAATTCATAGAATCCCTATACTGCAGAGGCAAGCCATTCAGCCCATCTGGTCCACATCAACCCTCTGAAGAGCATCCCATTCAGATCCACCATCTACCCTATCCATGTAACCTGCATTTCCCATGGCTAATCCACCTAACCTGCACAGCTTTGGACTGTACGAGGAAACTGGAGCACCCAGAGGAAACTCTCACAGACACGGGAAGAATTTATAACCTCGACACAACAGTCACCCGAGACTGGAATCAAAGGTCCTTGGCACTGTGAGGCAGCAGTCCTAACCACTGAGCCAAAGTTCCGCCCATTAGGGTATGGGGGGAGAAAGCAGGAACTGAGTGGGATGATCAGCCAAGGTCATTTTAAGTGGTGGAGCAGGCTGGAAGGGCCAAATGGCTAAATCCTTGTTCCTATTTTGTTACATGTTTCTTTGTTATTACCTTCAGGAATTCAGCCTCATGTAGAGTCAGCCTCTTCTGTGTTTCTGCCACTGTCTGTTCAATGGCGATGCGCTGTTCAGAGATTTTGTCCAGATTTTGTTCCAGTTTCTGCAGTGTTGCCTTCTCCTTTTGCTGCAGCTTTGTTCGAAGGCTGTGTTCCTGCTGATGCAGAAACTGGTGCAGCTGGTCGAATTTAGCCGCAATATTGTTCTGCAGACTACCAGCCTGCAGCTGTTGAAATAAATGACAGTACGAGTTCACAAAACACTTCTAGCAAAGGCCATCCACGTGTCACTACTGCATGACAACTATTGCCAAGTCAGATGGGACGAAATGAGGGCTGGGGTTCCAGATATTCGGGTCTAATTCCACAGCATAATGTAATCTCTCCCAAAGTTAGTATCACTAGGTCTGAGGGCAGCCTTGAAGCTAAGAATGTCTCCGAGACAGCTTTAATTCCTTACATTTCATTTTGAAGCCACTTGGCCTATCTCCTGCAGCAGTTAGAACAGTGGGCCCTACATGTGCTTTAGAAAGAGAAACCCTCAACATAACCCTCTGGAATGCCACAGCCCCTCTCTCTAAAGGCTCGCCCCACCTCCTGAGGGGTCACGTCAATTTTCCAGCCCTCATTTGGGCCCACAAAGAACAGTACAGCACAGGAAAAAGCCCTTTGGCTCACCAAGCCTGCGCCGACACACAATGCCTTTCCAAACTAAAATCCATTTGCCACTACGCATCCGTATCCCTCTATTCCCTACCTATTCATATATCCATCAAGATGCCCTTAAACATTACTATTCTATCTGCCTCCACCACCTCCTCTGGCAGCACTTAGCACTCACCATGTAAAAAAGCTTGCCTCTCACATCTCCTTCAAACTTAGCCCCTCTTACCCTAAGCCTACATCCCCTGGTAATTGACATTCCTACCCTGGGAAAAAAAGACTCTGACTATCCATTCTATCCATGCCTCCCATAATTTTGTAAACTTCTATCAGGACACGCCTCAGCCCTCAACATTCAGATGCAAACAAACCATGTTTGTACAATCTCTCCTCACACTTAATACACTCCAACCAGGTGGCAGCCTGGTAAACCATTTCTGTACCCTCTCCAAAACCTTCACATCCCTCTGGTAGTGTGGCAACCACAACTGTATGCAATATTCCAAAGGTGGCTGAACTGAAGTTCTACACATCTGCAACATGACTTGGCAATTTTTATACTCTACACACCGACCGATAAAGGAGAGCATGCCACATGTCTTCCTGACCATTTATCCCACTTGTACTGTCATTTTCAGGGGAATGTGGAACAGTTCACCTAGATCTCTCAGTATAGGAATGCTTCTATGGGTTCTGTCATTTACTGTATACTTCCTTCCTGCATTAAACCTTCCAAAATGCATCATCTTGCATTCTTCTGGATTAAGCTGCATCTGCCATTTCTCCAGCCTATTTATATCCTGCTTTATCCTCTGACAATCCTCCTCACTATCCACAGCACCCAATCTTTGTGTCGTCTACAAACTTACTAATTACCTACACTATCCTCCAAATCTTTTTATACATTACAAACAACAGGGCTCCCAACACTGATCCTCTGGAATACCAGTGGTCACGGATCTTCAGTCAGAAATACACCTTTCCACTGCGGCTCTCTGTTTTCCATAACCAAGCCAGTTCAGTGTGGATCCCATGTGACTTCACCTTTAGAATCAGCCTGCCATGAAGGATTTTGTCAAAGGCCTTGCTAAAGTCCATGTATACAACATCTACTGCCCTGCTCTCATCAATTGTCTTGGTCACCTATAGAGTCATAGTCATGAAAACAGACCCTTCAGACCAAATATTCACAACAATGAGGCATCTCAATCTGACATAGTCCCATTTGCCAGCATTTGGCCCATAGCTCTCTAAACCCTACTTGTTCATATTCCCATCCAGATACCTTTTAAATGTTGTAACTGTACCCACTTCCACCACTTCCTCTGGCAGCTCGTTTCATACACACACCACCCTCTGCGTGAAAAAGTTACCCCTCAGGTCCTTTTTAAACCTTTCCCCTCTCACCTTAAACCTACATCTCCTAGTTTTGTACTCCTCCACATTAGGGAAAAGATCTTGGCTATTCACCCTATACATGCACCTCTTGATTCTGTCAACTGCCTTAAGGTCACCCCTCAGCCTCTGACACTCCAGGGGAGAAAAGCCCCAGCCTATTCAGTCTCTCCCTATAGCTCAAGCCTTCCAGTCCTGGCAACATCCTTGTAAATCTTTTCTGCACCCTCTCAAGTTTAACACCAGCAAAGTTCCCCAGGGCCCACCATTAACTGTACGAGTCCTGCCCTGATTTGCCTTAGCAAAATGCAAAACCTCACACTTATCTAAATTAAACTCCATCTGCCATCCTTGGCCCATCTGATCAAGGTGCTGTTTCTTCACCATCCACTATACCACTTACTTTGGTGTCATCTGCAAGCTTACTTACTATACTTCCTATATTCACATCCAGATCATTCATATAAGTGACAAAAAGCAGTGGACCAGCACCGGTCCTTGCTGCACACCACTGGTCACAGGCTTCCAGTCCAAAAAACATAAAAGTCCACCCTCTGTCTCCTACCTTCAAGCCAATTGGCTAGCTCCTACTGGATACCACTTGATGTAACCTTACTAACCAGTCTACTGTTCAGAATTTTGTTGGACACTTTGCTGAAGTCCATATAGTAAACATCTACCACTCTGCCTTCAATCTTCTTTGTTACCTTTTCAAAAAACTCAATCAAGTTAGTGAGAACGATTTCACACGCACAAAGCCATGCTGACTATTCCTAATCAGTCCTTGCCTTTCCAAATGCGTGTAATTCCTAACCTGCAGAATCCCCTCCAACAGCTTACCCACCACTGACGTAAGGCTCACCAGTCTATAGTTCCCTGGCTTTTCCTTACAGCCTTTCTCAAATAATGGCACCACATTAGCCAATCTCCAGCCTTCCAGCAACTCACCCACGGCTATTGATGATACAAGTAACTCAACAAGAAGCCAGCAATTTCTTCCCTAGCTCCCAACAAAGTTCTGGGAAGCACCTGATCAGGTCCCAGGAATTCTACCTTTATGCATTTAAGAGCTCCAGTACCTCCTCTTTTGCAATATGAATTCTTTTCAAGATATCAATATTTCTTTCCCCCAGTTCCCTAGCTTTCAAGTCCTTCTCCACATTAAATACTGACACAAAATATTTGTTTAGTATCTCACCCATCTACTGTGGGTCCACACATTGATGGCCTTGCTGATCTTTAAGAGGCCTTACTCTCTTCCCAGTTACTCTTTTACCCTTAATGTATTTATAGAATCTCTTTGGATTCTCCTTAACCCTATTTGCCAAAGCTATCTCATGTCCCCTTTTTGCCCCCCTGATTTCTGTCTTAAGTATACTCCTACTGTCCTTATACTCTTTTAGGGATTCACTCAATCCCAGCTGTCTATACCTGTTATATACCCCATTCTTTTTCTTGACAAGAGTCTCAATTTCTCCAGTCACCCAGCAGAGCCTATACCTCTCAGCTTTACCCTTCACACTAGTTGGAAACTGTTTCTGGACTTTCGTTATCTCATTCTTAAAGGCCTCACACTTCCCAACCATTCCTTTACCTGTGAATAGCCTCCCCTCAATTAACTGTCAAATAATAATACTGTCAAATAATAATACTGTCAAATAATAA